ATTCTGTCTTACCTCTAATTCCTTTTCAATTATAACCCTACCGTACACTTTTCCCTGGTATACCAGTAAGCTTATTCCTCTATAATTTTTACAGTCTCTTTTGTCCCCTTTCCCTTTATAAAAGGGACTATACAGCTCTCTCCAATCCTACTAGGTACCTTCCCCTCTCATACATTTATTAAACAAAAGTACCAACCATCTCCAACACTATTATCCCCCCCTGCTTTAACATTTCTGTCATGAATCCCATCAGTTTCCACTGCTTTAAAACCCCCTTCATTACGTTCTAATCCTCACGTACCTCCCCCACACTTACATTCATGCTCTCTTCACTCCCAAAAGATGGTATACCTCCCTGACCAGTGCATGAAATTACTGCCTCTGTTTCTTCCTTAACATTTAAAAGTTCCTCAAAATAGAAGTGAATGTTTTCAGATATTTGGGAGTTGACATGTCAGTGGATGGATTTATCAAGGATGAGGTTAATCAAAGAGTTGATGAAGGAAAAAAGGCGAGTGGTGCATTGAGGTATATGTGGAGGCAAAAAATGTTATCTACGGAGGCAAAGAAGGGAATGTATGAAATTATAGTAATACCAACACTCTTATATGGGTGTGAAGCTTGGGTTGTAAATGCTGCAGCGAGGAGGCGGTTGGAGGCAGTGGAGATGTCCTGTCTAAGAGCAATGTGTGGTGTAAATATTATGCAGAAAATTCGGAGTGTGGAAATTAGCAGAAGGTGTGGAGTTAATAAAAGTATTAGTCAGAGGGCTGAAGAGGGTTTGTTGAGTTGAGATGGTTTGGTCATTTAGAGAGAATGGATTAAAGTAGAATGACATGGAGAGCGTATAAATCTGTGGGGGAAGGAAGGCGGGGCAGGGGTCGTCCTCGAAAAGGTTGGAGGGAGGGGGTAAAGGTGGTGTTGTGGGCGAGGGGTTTGGACCTCCAGCAAGTGTGCGTTAGATAGGAGTGAATGGAGACAAATGGCATTTGGGACCTGACGATCTGTTGGAGTGTGAGCAGGGTAATATTTAGTGAAGGGATTCAGGGAAACTGGTTATTTTATATAACCACACTTGAGTACTGGAAATGGGAAGTACAATGCCTGCACTCTAAACGAGAGGTCTGGGATATTGGCAGTTTGGTGAGATATATTGTGTATTTTTATACGTATATACTTCTAAACTGTTATATTCTGGGCACCTCTGCAAAAACAGTGATTATGTGTGATGATGATGAAAGTATTTTCTTTTTGGGGACTTTCTCTTTGGGTCACCCTGCCTCGGTAGGAGACGGCCAACTTGTTAAAAAAAAAAATTATACAGTGGTCGCCCGGCTCGCGAAGTCATCGGTAACCAATAAATCCGGTATCCGAAGCGTTATATCGCAAAAAATTTGTCCCGGTTCCCGTTACAAAACCCGGTACGCGATATGATTTGTACGAGACGTGTCCACATGTGGCCTGAACTGCCCCATGTGTTCCAGTGTTCACAAGACAGCCAGTGTGCGCGCATCTAGGGATACATTCGGTGCATTCCATATTATCACTGTTTCTGGTGCTTGTTTCTGCAAAATAAGCCACCATGGGCCCAAGAAAGCTTCTAGTGCCAACCCTTCGAGACCAAGGGTGCTAATGACTATTGAAATGAAGAAAGAGATAATTGCAAAGTATGAAAGTGGAGTGCGCGTGTCGGACCTGGCCAAGTTGTATAGTAAATCCCAATCAACCATCTCTACTATAGTGAGCAGGAAAACGGCAATCAAGGAAGCTGTTCTTGCAAAAGGTGCAACTGTGATTACAAAACAGTGATTGCAAGTGTTAGAAAATGTTGAGAGACTGTTACTGGTGTGGATAAATGAAAAACAGATAGCTGGAGATAGCATCTCTCAAGCAATCATTTGTGAAAAGGCTAGGCAGTTGCATGAGAATTTAATTAGAAAAATGCCTGCAACTAGTGGTGATGTGAGTGACTTTAAGGCCAGCAAAGGTTGGTTTGAAAGATTTAAGAATCGTAGTGGCATACATAGTGTGATTAGGCATGGCGAGGCTGCCAGTTCAGACCACAAAGCGGCTGAAAAATATGTGCATGAATTCAAGGAGTACATAGAGGCTGAAGGATTGAAACCTGAACAAGTGTTTAATTGTGATGAAACAGGCCTGTTTTGGAAGTAACTGCCAAGCAGGACTTACATTACTCAGGAGGAAAAGGCACTCCCAGGACATAAGCCTATGAAAGACAGGCTTACTCTGTTGATGTGTGCCAATGCTAGTGGTGATTGCAAAGTGAAGCTTTTATTGATGTATCACTCTGAAACTCCCAGAGCGTTCAGGCAAAAGAATATCCTCAAGGCTAATTTGTGTGTGCTGTGGAGGGCAAACACTAAGGCATGGGTCACTAGGGACTTTTTCTATAACTGGTTACACCATGCATTTGCCCCCACTGTGAAAAATTACCTAATTGAAAAGAAATTAGACCTTAAGTGCCTCCTGGTGTTAGACAATGCCCCTGGTCATCCTACAGACTTGTCAAGAGCGACTTTGTGAGGACATGAGCTTCATTAAGCTCAAATTTTTGCCTCCTAATACCACTCCTCTCCTGCAGCCCATGGACCAGCAGGTCATTTCCAACTTCAAGAAACTGTACACAAAAGCTATGTTTGAAAGGTGCTTTGAAGTGACCACAGATACTCTATTGACTAAAGGAGTTTTGGAGGATCACTTTAATATCCTCAATTGTGTAAACCTTATAGGTAAGGCTTGGGAGGGAGTGACTAAGAGGACCTTGAACTCTGCTTGGAAGAAACTGTGGCCTGAATGTGTAGACAAAAGAGATTTTGAAGGGTTTGAGACTAATCCTGGGAATCCTATGCCAGCTGAGGAATCCATTGTGGCATTGGGAAAGTCCTTGGGGTTGGAGGTTAATGGGGAGGTTGTGGAAGAGTTGGTGGAGGGGGACAATGAAGAACTAACTACTGATGAGCTGCTAGATCATCTTCAACAGCAAGAGGCCAGACCTGAGGAAACTGCTTCGGAGAAGGGGATAGAGAAATTGACGAAGTTGCCTACTTCAAAGATTAAGGAAATGTGCGCAAAGTGGCTTGAAGTGCAAACCTTTTTTGATGAAAATCACCCTGACACAGCTACTGCAAGCCGTGTTGGCAACCTGTACACTGACAATGTTGTGAACCTCTTTAGGAAAGTCATAAAGGAACGAGAGGTACAGGTCTCTATGGACAGATATGTTGTGCGACAGAAGTCCAGTGACTCTCAAGCTGGTCCTAGTGGCATTAAAAGAAGAAGGGAAGTAACCCCGGAAAAGGACTTGCTACCTCAAGTCCTAATGAAGGGGGATTCCCCTTCTAAACATTAAAAACTTCGACACTCTCCCCTCATCCCATCCCATCAATCATCACCAGATCTTCATTAAAGGAAAGTGTCAATTATTCTATTGTTTATTCTATTATTATTATTGTTATTGTAATTATTCTATTGCATTAAACTTAATATTTCATGTGGTAAAAGTTTTTTTTCATACTTTTGGGTGTCTTGCAAGGATTAATTTGATTTCCATTATTTCTTATGGGGAAAATTGATTCGCTTTCCGATAATTTTGCTTTACGATGAGCTCTCGGGAACGGATTAATAACGTGAACCGGGCGTCCACTGTGTATACATAGCATTAAAGTTTATCTATTAAAGCAGCTGTTGTAATTTTATTTCTTAATCTCATTATAAAAGGAATACTAAATTTGTCAGGGAAAGTTACAATTAAACATCTAAATTTACTGTGCTCCAAATTTTAATTAATGAGATAAGTTTTTATGAGATGAATTTTTCTTTACCTCACAGATAATTTTCCACCAAGGTAGGCTGGCCCCCCCCCCAAAAAAAAAAAAATTTGTAATTATTTTTTTATTTATTAACACATTGGCCGATTCCCACCAAGGCAGGGTGGCCCGAAAAAGAAAAACTTTCACCATCATTCACTCCGTCACTGTCTTGCCAGAAGGGTGCTTTACACTACAGTTTTTAAACTGCAACATTAACACCCCTCCTTCAGAGTGCAGGCACTGTACTTCCCATCTCCAGGACTCAAGTCCAGCCTGCCGGTTTCCCTGAATCCCTTCATAAATGTTACTTTGCTCACACTCCAACAGCACGTCAAGTATTAAAAACCATTTGTCTCCATTCACTATCAAACACGCTCACGCATGCCCGCTGGAAGTCCAAGCCCCTCGCACACAAAACCTCCTTAACCCCCTCCCTCCAACCTTTCCTAGGCCGACCCCTACCCCGCCTTCCTTCCACTACAGACTGATACACTCTTTAAGTCATTCTGTTTCACTCCATTCTCTCTACATGTCCGAACCACCTCAACAACCCTTCTTCAGCCCTCTGGACAACAATGTTGGCAATTATGATTACAAAAACATTTACAACACTAACCGCAGCACAGAACAAGACAGACCTGTCTTGTTCTGTGCTGCAGTTAGTGTTGTAAATTCATGAAATTGTAATAACACAATTGCAAACAAACCACAGAACAGGTGAGAAAGTCATCAAACTCCCCTGCCATGAGTTCCAACTCCACCTGTTCTGTGGTTGTTTTTTCAGACTTGTATAGTAATGCAATAACTTTTATTTGTAGCTTCTCTCAGAAAAAAAATTAGTTTTGTAGTTAATAGTACAAGTGTACTCAAAAAATTAATAGGATACAGCAATAGTTTGATAGTACCTACTTTATCACTACTACAGAAGAAAATTTTACTTATATTTTATCAAAGCATGAATTTTGAAAACATGTACCGTTTCTTGATCTGTTGGTGTTCAAGCATTTACTGTAGATTTTTAATCAGTCATCCAACCACTCTGCTGGATAATGGAAAATGATATGCTAGCTACAAAGACAAATTAACATTTTTGTTTCAACAATTTTTTTCGCAGGCAACATAAGCTTATATTTTATGAAGAAAAAAGAAGTTGCAAGTGTTCATTCAAACCTATTGCAGAAATCATGGCAGCCTCCCTGGTCCATGCCTCCACAGGTATGGTGTTCTGAAACACATGCAGTGACACTACACCTACACCATCTGACCATATGTTGTGGATTCTTTTAATCTTTTCACTGTTCTGAGGAAAGAGATACAAAATAAATAAATAAATAAATAGAAATACACACACACACACACACACACACAAAAGATGGACAGAGACAGAATGTTCTAGAGATGGGACACAGCAACAAGGGGACACAGTTGGAAGCTGAAGACTCAAATGAATCGCAGAGATGTTAGGAAATATTCCTTTAGTCAAAGTAGTCAGGAAGCGATGTAGTGGAGGCAGGATCCATTCATAGCTTTAACCCTTTGACTGTTTTGGTCGTATATATACGTCTTATGAGCCACTGTTTTTGACGTATATACACTCATAAATTCTAGCGGACTTGAGTCCTGGAAATGGGAAGTACAATGCTTGCACTCTAAAGGAGGGGTTTGGGATATTGGCAGTTTGGAGAGATATATTGTGTATTTTTATACGTATATACTTCTAAACTGTTGTATTCTGGGCACCTCTGCAAAAACAGTGATTATGTGTGAGTGAGGTGAAAGTGTGGAATGATGATTAAAGTATTTTGTTTTTGGAGATTTTCTTTCTCTTTGGGTCACCCTGCCTTGGTGGGAGACGGCCAACTTGTTGAAAAAAAAAAAAATTCTAGCGGCTTCAAATCAAGTAGGAGAAAGCTGGTAGGCCCACATGTGAGAGAATGGGTCTGTGTGGTCAGTGTGCACCATATAAAAAAAATCCTGCAGCACACAGTGCATAATGAGAAAAAAAAAACTTGACTGCTTTTTTTTAATTAAAATGCCGATTTTGTGGTATATTTTCATACAGTATTTATGGTTGTATTCTCGGTTTTTTGATCTCATTTGATAGAATGGAAAAGATATTATAGAAATAGAGGTGATTTTGATTGGTTTTACTGTGAAAAGAACCTTGAAATGGAGCTCAAAGTAGGGGAAATGTTTGATTTTTGCCAATGCTCAAAAGTAAACATGTGATGTCATTTTCCAATAAATGTCCAAGTAGCCATTCTAATATGCAGTCATGAATGGGCTGACACTATTTATACAGTTATTACAATATTGCAGTAGTTTGCATAATAGCAAATCTTCTATTTTTTTTTTTGAATAAAAATTCAAAATAGAAAGCAAGAGTAATATCACAGGGGCCTGGAGACATGACTGATGAACAAAGAAAATGTTATTTTAGAGCCAGGAATGTCTGCATTGTTCATTCTGGACCCTATTTTGGAATTGTCATTTTTTTTTATTTTCATGAAATTGGCCAAATTGCAAATTTCTGACCACGTTATAGGGTAGTTGAAATCGGTAAATGGGCAGTTTCTTGTACTCAATCGATAGAAAAAAATGGAGTTCTAAAGAAATAGCTATGAGTTTGGTCGACTGGAACAATGGAATCAGCCGAAAATAGGGCTCAAGTGGGCGAAATCGCCGATTCATAAATATCGCCGAGGGTGCTAACTTCGTGAGAGCGTAATTCCACAAGCTTTCGACCAAATTTTGTACTTTTGGTGTCATTACCATCGGGAAAAGATTCTCTATCATTTCATAAGATTTTTTTTTTTTTTTTTTTTTGAAATTTTGCGATACTCAGGATTTGGGGTTGTGACAGTCAAGGGGTTAAGAAGAGGAATAATAAAGCTCATGGTGCAGGGAGAATGACCCAGTAGTGGCCAGTGAAGAGGCGGGGCCAGGGGCTATCAATTGACCCTTGCAACCACAACTAGGTGGGCGCGCGCGCACACACACACACACACACACACACACACACAAAAAAAAAAAAAAATACAGTTTTTCTTTTAACACAAGCCACTTCTCATTCAACCCTTTGACTGCTTTGGTCGTATATATATGTCTCACGAGCCAGTGTTTCGGACGTATATATACTCAATAATTCTAGTGGCTTCAAATCAAGCAGGAGAAAGCTGGTAGGCCCACATATGAGAGAATGCGTCTGTGTGCACCACATAAAAAAATCCTGCAGCACGCAGTGCATAATGAGAAAAAAAAACTGAGTTTTTTTTTGGATTAAAATGGAGACTTTGAGGTGTATTTTTGTATAGTATTTATCGTTGTATTCTCTCTTTCATGGTCTCACGTGATAAAATAGAAAACATATTACAGAAATAGACATGATTTTGATTAGTTTCACGATGAAAACGACCTTGAAATTGAGCTCAAAGTAGCGAAAATGTTTGATTTTTACCAATGTTCAGGAATAAACAAATCACACCACATGTCAAATACAAGTCAACTGGGGAATCTAATATTCTTTCACTAGTACACTGATATTATTTATACCATTTTTACAATAATGCAGTAGTCTGCATAACAGTAAATTTTGTATTTTTTGTATGAATAAAAAATAAAAATAGAAAGCAATAGTAATATAAGAATGGCCTAGAGACATGACTAATGAACAAAGGATATGTTATTTTAGTGCCATGAATGTCTACATTGTTTATTCTGGACCCTATTTTGAAATTGGCATCTTTTTAATTTGTGTGAAATTGACCAAATTGCCAATTTCTGACCACTTTATTGGGTAGTTCAAATCAGTAAATGGGTGGTTTCTTGTACTCAACTGATAGAAAAAATGGAGTTCTAAAGAAATAGCTATGAGTTTGGTCAACTGGAACAAGGGAATTGGTCAAAATCAGGGCTCAAAGTTGGCGAAATCGCCGATGCATACTTGTCGCCGAGACTGCTAACTTCGTGGGAGCGTAATTTCTGTGAGTTTTCGACCAAATTTCGTACTTTTGGTGTCATTATCATCTGGAAAAGATTCTCTATCATTTCATAAGAAAAAAAATGTTTTTTTTTTTTTTCCAAAAATTTTTCGACATAGAATGACAGTTTCAGAAAGGGGCTTGCGACAGTCAAAGGGTTAAGAAGGGGTAACCCAAAGAAAATATCCTTAGCTGTCTTTCCAAAAGTGCACAGAAATAAATGATTCACATAACCAATATCCCCCACACAGAATACAGAGTAAAGGCATTGCACTTTCCACCTCCAGAATTAAACCTCAACTAGTCAATCTTCCTGAATCCCTTCATAGATGTTACTTTGATCACACTCTTAAGAGCACAATAAAGGATCCCATTGGAAATAAGTCACTCTGTCTGACTTTTTTTGGGTTATCCTAGGTTCTCTATACATATGCTGCTATGTATGATAATCTATGTAACTGCATTTGTGTATACCTGAATAAGCTTACTTGTACATCAAATCCCCCTTCCTCCCCCTCTCCTCATGTGAAATAAACTGAGGAATTGTTCCATAATTAAGTTCTCATGACAAATGGTTTCAAAAACCAGTGATGGATTATGATATGTATCTACTGGACACAACAGAAATGTGTAAATGCCCATGTGACTATACGTGACTACCCTACATCTTTAAGATGGAATAAACAAGATGCTGATAATAAGCAAAATAGTAAATTCATTGTTTATGAACATCCAACAGAAATCTTGTTTTATATGTTCCTTTATATTATACGACCACTTATAGCATTTTACCAATAAATAAATATCTTGCCTGCCTTCTGTGTAAATAATTTTACTCGTCTATATCAATATCCAACATTATGAAGCCATCTTACCCGCTTGCCGCTATTCTGTTGTTTGATAGCTTCATAGAGGTGATAGTATGGTCGACCTCTTGATCCTTTGCCTATATAAAATATGGCTGAAATAAAACACTGAAGTTTATCAGCATCATTCATTGCTGGTCCTCTGAAAAACAGAAATAATTAATCTTACTTTTCATACTGTTATAGCTTCAAGAAATTACATGAAAAAAAAAATTCATTCCTCTGTCCTTTTAAGCTACTACTACTTTTGTTTACAACTTTATCCATGTGTATAGAGTTAATTTTTTTTTAATCACATTGGCCATCTCCCACTAAGGTAGGGTGATCCAAAAATAAAAAGTAGAAAAGAAAAAGGAAATATTCACCATAGTTCATTCAATAACTGTCTTGCAAGAACTGCTCAGACATCACAATTCAAATGACCCTCCGAGCTGTAACGTCCCACTCTTCCTTCGGAGTGCTTGCCACCTCCAGAACTGAGATCCAGCTAATCAGTTTCTTGGAATACTTTCATAAATGTTACTTTACTCACACTCCAACACCATGTCAAATCCCTAAAACTACTTGTCTCTGTTCATCCTAATCAAACATGCTCATATGTCTTGCTGGAGTGCTCAAAATTACCAGCCTTTTTGATGTTTCAAGCCCATAGCACTCCAAGCCTTCTCACCCTCTTTCCAACTTCCAGGATACCACCTACCCCTGCTACTTTTCATTAAGTAGGTATAATGAAAAGGAATAAAGCAGGTTTTACCCGTAAATGGTCCAATGTATAACGTACTAATTTACTGGTCCCAGTGCCCCGAATATTTTTGGAACTATTTTTGTTTATGAAAATATGAGCACATTTTTCTAGTGTTACAGGATAAAAAAATTAGGGTTAGTTATCAACTTGAGTCCTGTCGCTTGCAGAAGTGTTGCCATATACTGTTTTTTTTAATTTTATATGCTGGACCCCCGCTAACGATACCTCCGATGTGACAATTATGTAAGTGTATTTAGTAGTGCTTTTAGTGTTTTGGGTCTGAAATGGACTAATACTTCACAATATTCTTATGGAACAAATTCGGTCTGTACTGGCACCTGAAATACTTTGGATGAAAGTAACATATGTAAACACGAGGTGGCTTTCACTGTATTTTTATAATTTTTTGTCTGGATATTACAATTATAGTAGTTACGTATTGTCATTTTATAACCAATCTTTGTTTGGCACTAGTATTAGGCATGAAATTGTATCACATTTCACAAACACTGACAGGTGGACATTTACACCTGGGACCTGGTCATTTACTATGTAGGGAATATACAAAGTATATAGGTCAAGAAAGTTGGAATGGGAGGATTAGAATAGGAAGATAAGGGAGAGAGGAGGAGGAGGAGGAGGGGGAGAGGAGGGGAAAGAGGAGGGGGAAGAGGAAGGGGGAGAGGAGGGGGAAGGGAGGGGGAAGAGGAGGGGGAAGAGGAGGGGGAAGAGGAGGGGGAGAGGAGGGGGAAGAGGAGGGGGAAGAGGAGGGGGAAGAGGAGGGGAAGAGGAGGGGGGAAGAGGAGGGGGGAAGAGGAGGGGAGGAGGAGGAGGGGGGAGGAGTGAGGGGGGGGAGGAGGAAGGAGGGGAGGAGGAGGAGGGAGGGGGAGGAGGAGGGGGAGGAGGAGGAGGGGGAGGGGAGGAGGGGGGGAGGAGAGGAGGGGGAGGGAGGGAGGAGGAGGAGGGGGAGGAGGAGGAGGGGGAGGAGGAGGGGGGGAGGGGAGGAGGAGGGGGGGGAGGAGGAGGAGGGGGAGGGGAGGGGGGGAGGAGGAGGAGGGGGAGGAGGGGGAGGAGGGAGGAGGGGGGGGGAGGAGGAGGGGGGGAGGGGGAGGAGGAGGGGGGGGAGGAGGAGGGGAGGGAGGGGGAGGAGGGGGGGGGAGGAGGAGGAGAGGGGGAGGAGGAGGGGGGGAGGAGGGGGAGGAGGGGGGAGGAGGGGGAGGAGGAGGAGGGGGATGAGGAGGAGGGGGAGGAGGGGGAGGAGGAGGGGGGAGGGGGAGGAGGAGGGAGGGGGAGGAGGAGGAGGGGGAGGAGGAGGAGGGGGAGGAGGAGGAGGGGGAGGAGGAGGAGGAGGGGGAGGAGGGGGGGAGGAGGAGGAGAGGGGAGGAGGAGAGGGAGGAGGAGAAGGAGAATAATAATAATACCATATAATAATAATAGGTCTTTTGTCCGTCTCATAAATATGCAAGACTACAGGTACGTACCGTCTTGCTACTTCTACTTACACTTAGGTCACACTACACATACATGTACATGTTTATTTATACATACTCATCTGAGTTTTCTTTGATTTTATCTTAATAGTTCTTGGTCTTATTACTTTTCCTTTTATATCCATGGGAAAGTGGAATAAGAATCTTTCCTCCATAAGCCATGCGTGTTGTAAAAGTCAACTAAAATGCCGGGAACAATGGGCTAGTAACCCCTTTTCCTGTAATAATTACTAAAAAGAATAAGAAGAAAATTGTCAAAGTGGGAAGTCTGAATGTGCATGGATGTTGTGCAAATGATAAGAAAGAGATGATTGTGGATGTTAAGAATGAGAAGAAGCTGGATGTCCTGGCTTTAAGTGAAACAAAACTGAAGGGGGTGGGAGAGTTTCAGTGGAGAGGAATAAATGGGATTAGGTCAGGGGTTTCAAACAGTTTGAGCTAAAGAAAGAGTAGCAATAATGTTGAAGGATAAGTTATGGCAAGAAAAGAGGGACTACAAATGTATTAATTCAAGGATTATGTGGAGTAAAATAAAGGTTGGATGTGAAAAGCGGGTTATAGTAAGCATATGTGCACCTGGAGAAGAAAAGTGTAGAGGAGAGAGAGAGAGTTTTGGGAAAGGGTTGAGTGAATGTGTGGGGAGATTTAACCAAGTGTGAGGTAATGGTGGTTGGGGATTTCAATGCTAAAGTGGGAAAAAATTGTTATGGAGGGAAGTAGAAAAGGTAAATTTGGGGTGCCAGGGGTAAATGAAAATGGGGAAGCTTTAATTGAGCTATGTGTAGAAAAGATGTTTGGAAAGTAATACATATTTTATGAAGAAGAGGATAAAATAAATATACAAAGTTTGATATAGCACGTAATGAAAGTAGTTTGTTAGATTATGTATTGGTGGGTAAAAGGTTTGATGGGTAGAGTCCGGTATGTACCGTTTGCTGGGGACTGATATTGGATCATTATTTAGTGGTAGCTACAGTTAGAGTAGATGGGAAAAAGAGGAAATGGGCAACAACAAAAGAGGGAGGTGAAAAGTGTATAAACTAAGGGAGGAGGAAGTTCGGAGTGAGATATTAGAATATTGGCAGAAAGGTGGGCTAGTGCAAGTAGGGTAGTGGTGGGGGGGGGGGGTGTGAAGAGGGTTGGAATAGTTTTAAAAATGCAGTATTAGAATGTGGGGCAGAAGTTTGTGGTTATAGGAGGGTGGGTGCAGGAGGAATGAGGAATGATTAGTGGAATGATGAAGGGTGTGATAAAAGAGAAAAAGTTAGCTTATGAGAGGTTTTTACAAAGCAGAAGTGTTATAAGAAGAGTAGAGTATATGGAGAGTAAAAGAAAGGTGGAGAGAGTGGTGAGAGAGTGCAAAAGGAGAGCAGATGATAGAGTGGGAGAGGCACTGTCAAGAAATTTTAATGAAAATAAGAAAAATTTTTGGAGTGAGTTAAACAAGTTAAGAAAGCCTAGAGAATAAACGGATTTGTCAGTTAAAAACAGAGTAGGGGAGTTTGTAGATGGGGAGATGGAGGTTTTGGGTAGATGGCGAGAATATTTTGAGGAACTTTTAAATGTTGACGAAGAAAGGGAAGAGGTAATTTCATGCACTGGCCAGGGAGGTATACCATCTTTTAGGAGTGAAGAAGAGCAGAATGTAAGTGTGGGGGAGGTACGTGAAGCATTACATAGAATGAAAGGGGGTAAAGCAGCTGGAACTGATGGGATCATGACAGAAATGTTAAAAGCAGGGGGGGATATAGTGTTGGAGCGGTTGGTAATTTTTGTTTAATAAATGTATGAAAGAGGGAAAGGTACCTAGGGATTGGCAGAGAGCATGTATAGTCCCTTTATATAAAGGGAAGGAGGACAAAAGAGATTGTAAAAATTATAGAGGAATAAGTTTACTGAAGGAGGGGTGTTAATGTTGCAGTTTAAAAACTGTAGTGTAAAGTACCCTTCTGGCAAGACAGTGATGGAGAGAATGATGGTGAAAGTTTTTCTTTTTCGGGCCACCCTGCCTTGGTGGGAATCGGCCAGTGTGATAATAATAATAAAAAAAAGTTTACTGAGTATACCAGGAAAAGTGTACGGTAGGGTTATAATTGAAAGAATTAGAGGTAAGACAGAATGGAGGATTGAGGATGAGCAAGGAGGTTTCAGAGTGGGTAGGGATGTGTAGATCAAGTGTTTACATTGAAGCATATATGTGAACAGTATTTAGATAAAGGTAGGGAAGTTTTTAATGCATTTATGGATTTAGAAAAGGCATATGATAGAGTGGATAGGGGAACAGTGTGGCAGATGCTGCAAGTATATGGAATAGGTGGTAAGTTACTAAATGCTGTAAAGAGTTTTTATGAGGATAGTGAGGCTCAGGTTAGGGTGTGTAGAAGAGAGGGAGACTACTTCCCAGTAAAAGTAGGTCTTAGACAGGGATATGTAAGGTCACCATGGTTAATATATTTATAGATGGGGTTGTAAAAGAAGTAAATGCTAGGGTCTTTGGGAGAGGGGTGGGATTAAATTATGGGGAAACAAATACAAAATGGGAACTGACACAGTTGCTTTTTGCTGATGATACTGTACTCATGAGAGATTCTGAAGAAAAATTGCAAAGGTTAGTGGATGAGTTTGGGAGTGTGTGTAAAGGTAGAAAGTTGAAAGTGAACATAGAAAAGAGTAAGGTGATGAGGGTATCAAATGATTTAGATAAAGAAAAATTGGATATCAAATTGGGGAGGAGGAGCATGGAAGAATGGAATGTTTTCAGATACTTGGGAGTTGATGTGTCAGCAGATGGATTTATGAAGGATGAGGTTAATCATAGAATTGATGAGGGAAAAAAGGTGAGTGGTGCGTTGAGGTACATGTGGAGACAAAAAAACGTTGTCTATGGAGGCAAAGAAGGAAATGTATGAAAGTATAGTAGTACCAACACTCTTATATAGGTGTGAAGCTTGGGTTGTGAATGCAGCAACGAGGAGGCAGTTGGAGGCAGTGGAGATGTCCTGTCTAAGGGCAATGTGTGGTGTAAATATTATGCAGAAAATTCGGAGTGTGGAAATTAGGAGAAGGTGTGGAGTTAATAAAAGTATTAGTCAGAGAGGTGAAGAAGGGTTGTTGAGGTTGTTTGGTCATTTAGAGAGAATGGATCAAAGTAGAATGACATGGAGAGCGTATAAATCTGTAGGGGAAGGAAGGCGGGGTAGGGGTCATCCTCGAAAAGGTTGGAGGGAGGGGGTAAAGGAGGTTTTGTGGGCGAGGGGCTTGGACTTCCAGCAAGCGTGCATGAGTGTGTTAGATAGGAGTGAATGGAGACGAATGGTATTTGGGACCTGACGATCTGTTGGAGTGTGAGCAGGGTAATATTTAGTGAAGGGATTCAGGGAAACCGGTTATTTTTATATAGCCAGACTTGAGTCTTGGAAATGGGAAGTACAATGCCTGCACTCTAAAGGAGGGGTTTGGGATATTAGCAGTTTGGAGGGATATGTTGTGCATCTTTATAGGTATATGCTTCTAAGCTGTTGTGTTCTGAGCACCTCTGCAAAAACAGCGATTATGTGTGAGTGAGGTGAAAGTGTTGAATGATGATGAAAGTATTTTCTTTTGGGGGATTTTCTTTCTTTTTTGGGTCACCCTGCCTCGGTGGGAGACGGCCGACTTGATAAAAAAAAAATATAGTAAGTTCCCTTGAAGCATGAAAAACAAAGTCCACCCCTGACAGTGACATGATAAGATGAGATAACATTTGATAAGAGCTGACATTTGATGAGCATACTGAGGGTGCAGTGATAA